TGTCTATACAGTGAATCATTTCTTGAGCCACAAGAATCTGATCAGCAATATCTCTACCCTTCATAAAGCCAACTTGCTCCTTGGAAATAATTTTAGGTAAAATATCACTTAGCCTAGAGGCCAAAACTTTGGTGCATACTTTACTCACAAAATTAGATAAGCAAATGGGTCTTAAATCAGCAAATGAAGAAGGCTTCTCAGATTTTGGTATTAAAATAACCCATGAACTAGCCAATCCTTTAGGAATATGAATACCCATAAAAAATTCCTTAACTACACTTACCACATCAGAACCAATAATGGGCCAACATTTCTTGAAAAATTTACCATTAAAACCATCAGGTCCAGGTGCTCCTTTAGCATTAAGATCCCATACTACAGCCTTTATTTCCTTTTCATCTGGAAGTTTGGTTGGCATTAAGTTATCTTCTTCATTAATAGTTTGTGGAATAAATTCCAATATCTTATCTGGTGAAACAACAGGCTCTACAGAATACAACTTTCTAAAGAAATCCACTCCTGCTGAGGCAATATCAGGTAAAGAGTTTACCAAAATTTCTTCAGAATTATGTATAGAATTGATTGTCTGCATCCTATTTCTTATTTTAACATAAGAATGGAAAAAGTTGGTGTTTGCATCCCCCTCCTTCATCCATTTAATATTGGCTTTCTATTTCCAGAAAAAAATTTCAAGCCTGTATTTGGAAATAAGTAATGCTTTGGATAAAGACCACCTTTCTCTATTTTCTGGGGTTGGAATCTCCTCATATGATTTTTCTGCCTCCATCACCTCAGTCTCACACCTTTTTATGTCTTCAAAAATATTCCCAAAAGTGTTTACATTCCATTTTTTTAGCTCATTCTTGAGATTATGCAGTTTCCTCACCAAACCCTTCATACCTCCTCCAAAATGTTGATAAAGCCAACTCTTCTGCACCACCTCCATGAAGGATGGATGTGTAAGCCACATATTTTGAAACCTAAAAGCTTTAGGCCGAGAAAAAGTATTGGTAGAGCATTGGACTAACACAGGATTATGATCAGAAGGTGTACTATTCAAATGGGAAATTTGAATGTTGTCAAAAAAATCCATGCATTTATGATTGATGAGACATCTGTCTAACCTCCTCCAGAGTCTACCATTAGATCTAACTCCTGTCCATGTGTATTTGCATCCTGTATAGGGAAGATCGACGAGGTTACAACCTGCAATGCAATTGGAGAATTCACGAACACTGGTAAGCACGGGTATTCCCCTCCCTTGGTGTTCATTGATATGAGCAATAGTATTGAAATCTCCCCCCTAACTGTAACACTCTGGCCTCGCAAGACCCGAGGTAATTACTTTAGACCTCTAGTACTGTCCCCACAAACCACCACGAGCCTTTACCACGCACTTTGTCCTCACTCATGCGCGCCCTGAGAAACTTCCCAGGGGGTCACCCATCCCAAGACTACTCCCGTGTAAGCACGCTTAACTTTGTAGTTCTTGGGTGATGAGCTCCCTTAAAAGGAGATGCACCTATGTTGGTATGAGTAGTACTATTAATCCATTTAAATAAAATCTCAAATGTTACACTAACATCCAAGGATCTTACATAGATTGTGAGATAGAAGATAATTCAGACCACAATTGTCTTCTCACAATGTAATTATGTCCACCATAAATGCCTGTAATCCATCCTGAGTAGTTGCCTTTAGTAACTCTGAAATGTATGTATTGCTCGTGCCATCTAAAGTCAGAAAGATCCACTGCTTCTGGATTCCAGAAAATCCACAGCTTATTGATATCAGAAGAAACAACCTCAAAAAGACCCAGCTGAGACTTGAACAAACAAGCTTTAGAACTAACTAAAATAGGCTCAATAACAATAAAAATATGAATCCTCCATTGTTGAATTAGGGAAAAAAAGTCTGGAACTGGAGGATTCCAGACCCCTAACATTTCAAAAGAGACAATTTATTTAAAGATCAGATGCAAAAGTCTTGAAGAGCCCCTGGCTATCTTTTTTCTTTGCTGCATTTCTTGTAACAATATTGGAGGCATTTATATCTACTTTCTTTTTAGATTTCCTGCTAGTAACTGTAATAAAATCTGCCTCTTGATTTCCATGGTTTCTGATAGGTACCTCTGGATTTGAATCATCTGCTATTGGACCCTTACTGCAATCTGGAACCTGGAATTCCTGATTACTAGTGACCTCCCCATGATTAAATATTTCGGCATTGGGATCCACAAGATGAATGGAATCTTTTAGTGTATCATTACCTTCAGTGTATTGCTCATTTTCCTCACTCATATGTGCTGACTTATCTTTTGCACGAACTTGTGGAGACACATACTCCTGTTCTTCATCACCAGATTGATGATCATCCTCCTGTTCTTTTGCAGTCCATGGAACACTATTTGAGGGACATTAAGGTTATGGTAGATGCTCTTGCTGCTGTCAATTTACCTATTACAGATAAAGAATTACTTGAGTATACCTTATCGGGGTTGGGACCGGAGTATGAATCTAGCTTTAGTTGGGATTGTTTCTCTTTTTCCGGAGAGCTTTCCGTTTCATATCTTGGAACCCCGAATTTTAGAGCAAGTGCAGATGGTGTTACACAAGTGGGAAATTGAACGCTAGGATCATTTCACCATTCGCATCTCAAAGTATCGCTCCACCGGCAGATTTCAAAGATAGGTAATTAGCATATGTGTTAAGATCCAATCCGCCTCTCGGTTTCTTCCATTTAATAATTTGAATTTCAAAGCCTGAACTCTTGAACTGAGGAGAGATGATATGATCCTCATAAGTTGTGCCTTCATCTTTATGTTTACGCTTTCTATAACAATGCATTCTTTCTTTTTTTAGGCGTGTTATAACAAATAAAATGGGGTTTTCATTTTTTAAAAGCTTTAATTAGCCTTTATGGCATTACATGTTTGCATTAACAAGCAACATTTACTAAGAATATAAACGCATTTTGTAAACAATTTCTTCTACTTTGATTGCGTTGAACATGTAAAAACACATGATATATGACATTAGATAATCCCAACGATTTCCTAGTCTGATTAACAGCATTAAAAACTTTGATTGTTTGTGACATGCATGTGCATATATGGCACAAAACCACAAATCCTTGCTTGCATAATCTCATTTTCAAACATTAATTAAAACTTCAAATACCATTCATCTAACCCCTAAATCAAAGTTACTATAAAATTCATTCATCAAATCATTCATAACGGTAAACAAAATGTAACACAAACCATAAAATTACTTAGCGCAAAACAACCTACGAAGTTCTTCCCGAATCCAAAAACAAAGTCACAATATTTCAAATTCTCTTAAACAAGTCAATCCACCCCATACAACTGAGCGAGTCCAAAGTACTGAAACACGTCTATGACCATTTTCTTTCGATAATGCTAATTTTTACTCCATTGCACTTCGATTGCAGGTCTTCCACACATTAAATATTCCACTATTTTGAGCACAAAAAATTCACAACTATGCCTGCATAAAAATGGACTTGTAATCAGTTTCAAAAAGTAATTTATGGAATCATCTTGCGTTTCACTGCACTTACCCGTCATTCTGCTATGGGCACTCATTAACAAACTGCAATTCCGATTTCCCTTCTCCAATGGGCTCCTCTCCATGCTCATGATACACCCCCATGCAATCCATCAACCTTCTTAAGTGAGTTTCTACCACGATTTGCTTGTCAGTCTGTCATCATTCCATATGTCTTTTTTGTTTCGCATTTTTATCGTTTCATCTCTTGCTCTTACTTCTTGCTGATTGCCCTTTTGTGATTTTTCAGGAGCTCATGACACATGAATTCAACTATTATTTGTTCTGCCTCATTACTTGGCTCGTCATTTGGCTCCAAAGTCATAGGACCCCCTAGCACTACCTCTTTTCCTTCAAACCTGGCTTTTGTCTTCTTCTTCTTGTGGTTCACTGGCCCAGGTAGTGTTAGTCTTCAGGTACCTTGGTTTCTCTCCTTGGCCATTTCCCTAGCTCTTCTCTCAGCACACTTTCTTCATGTCGTTTTTTAACAATTATTATTTATTACATGTATAAAGATTACCCAATAGGCATTAATGATTCAACCTTTAAGGTATGTGAGGTAAGCACATCAAATTTAGCAATGTAATAAAAATACCTCAAAGTTTATATAAAACTTAATCTTAACACCATCATAATAATTTTTTTCTTTCACAACTGTAAACATATGGTGCTAAAAACTAAATTCTTTGAGCTTTTATAAGGATGAAATTATTAATTTAAGCTTCAATATTTGAAATGCATAACATTAACAAATAAGTTTATAATGTTAATTGCACACTCAAAACACTTAGAATATACGAAGTACAAATCATTTACTCAACACTATAATTTTACATTTTTGGAAGGAAAACCATATCATCATAATGCTAATAAGTTAATTTTTTATATAAAGTTTGGGAAATTTATATTAGATATGCAAGTTTGGGATGATTATCGCACTCTATACAAGTTTGGGGTATTTATATTATTCTCCCCTATAAAAAACTATGAATTTGTTTTTTATAGAGTAAATGAATCTGATTATTGTAGAGTAAGGATGTTTTTACTTGGACTGTAATTTGCTGGTCTGGTTTGGTCTGGTCTGATCTGGTCTGGTCTGGTAAGGTCTGGTTTCTTTGTATTTTTATAACTATCCAAGTCTGGTCTGAACTGGTCTGGGACAAATTACAGTCCAAGTAAAAACATCCTAATACGGAGTATAATATTACTAATCGAACTAAAGAGTAATAGTCCTCCATTGGTCTTTAACGAAAGTCATATTACGGATTTTGAGATTTAATGGATAAAAAGTTAACTTCTCTCGAGTAATATTTCAATTACAATAAAAATTAAAATCATATTTATATCTTCTACATATATAAAATTAGACTAAACTTTCTATTGAATGACAAGAATTGAATTTAAATATGAACGTAAATATATGTGTAGTACGGGAGTATATAACATTAGAGATACAGAAAATGAATGAACAAGTAAAAAATGGTACACTCATTTTAAACAAGATAGTAACTAATGTTACCAAAAACAATGAAATGTATCATCGTATATATAATAGACATGGAGTACATGACAATGGTATGTATGACACAAACAATACATACAAGTTAAATGCAAACTAACTTTATATCATACGCTTCTTAAGGACACTACATATTTATAAGATCAAACTCTCTAGATCCTCTCTAGTGGTGATATTATTCCTTTATTATAGGAGTAAGTTGAAAGGATATTCAAAGTGTACATTATAGAGAAACATATTCTCTGCAAAGAACACTTTTAATGCCCCTAGACTTGCTGCAATTTTAAATGAAAACTATCAATACTTTTTGGGATATTCAAAGAATGGCTCATTCATATAATCTATTGTGGCAAGTCTTATCGCTAGGGTAAGGCCTGTCAATATTTTGGAAAGAACTCCGGTCATAATACCAATCTCCAACTGCTTGAGCTATCGTCTGCAGCACAATAAGAGTGAGTTAGCACATTGCATAAATAGAGCATATTATTAAGCTCCAAAAAGATTAGAACAACAACGTAGTGTTGGATCCCCCGGAACTCAACATGAGCCAAATTGACCCCAATCAGCTATATAAACCATAGGTGACAAACAACGAACCAGACTATGATAGGGGTCGTAGTCCGGTAAACCGGTGCACATTGGCTCCCTCGCAAGGGGGTGGGGATAAGGAGCACGCCATCACTTGTCATTTTTTACAAGAAGCCGCTTCCAAGACTTGAAGCTTTGACCTCTCGGTCTCACAGCAACACCATAACCGGTGCGCCAAGGTTTACCGTCTCGAACCCGGCGATGATGCCATATAAATTGGGTCTGGCACCTCCTGCGGTCCTCAAGGATTGAGATTTATACTTATAAAACTATCTACATTAGATACATATCTTCTACAGATTCAATGCGGGGCACTTTATTAACAAGTTCACATCAAAATATTAAAAAAACAAAGATGAGTTTACAAGATACTAGAATTGAACTCACTAGCACATTCCATCTTTTGGTCATGTTAGGGCCCAAGTATTTTATCAGCTACCATTTGGACAATGAGAGAAAGTGGATGTAAGGGTGTGATGAATGTTCAAGGCACATGTTTACCTTGCCATCCAACATTGGAGAGACAGGAGGTGTAGTGGTGAGCCATGTCTCCTGGACTTCGGTTTGACAGTGCGCATAGCAAGAGTTGATGAAGTATCCTCTCAATGAAGCAGGGCCAAGTCCTTCTAATGCCTTTAGAAAATCCATCCTAAAACCTAGGAAATAAATGAAAGGTCAATTGTGCAAATATTTTCGATCAATATACCAACATCACAATGCTAAGAGCCTAAGATATACTACATACTTATTTGTGTAGTCCATTTATAAGGTATAAGGTTTGAACACAGGCATCACCCGAAAATAAAAATAAAAATTGAAGTGTTTGGCCTGTCAAAGAATAGTGTATTAAAATACAAGAAGTATGAAACAGGATACAAGTGAAGGCTATCCAGTACTTACCTTGCATTTTTGTGAGCTGAGGTCCAGAGCATTTAGTTATGTCAGCCTTGCAGTTATGCCATGTCCCATGTGTATCAGCAACCCCAGGAGCCAAAATGTTCTTTATCTAAAGTCCAACAAATTTCAATGGTAGTCATTAAAACCACCATGAAAAACATTGCTGAAATAATATCGTATTCTAATTTTATATTCCAAATAAGAGATTCAGAAGCACTTACCTGCCAGGCATCATAAGCTGCATTGATTAGGAAGAGCGGTGTTCGGATATATTGTGCCATGTTTTGAGGGAAGAAACACTGCAACAACAATAGCAGTAGGGTATTATTATACATATTGACAAGATGGCAATCACTGACTAACTTTATTGGAGGAATAGACCAAAGCCTTAAGCGATGGTGGCCTGGTTGGTAACATTCCAATGTCAAACGACTCAAAACTACTGAGTACTAACTGGGAGCAACAAAACCAAGAAATGGCTATTCTTACCAAACCTGGTTTCATTTTAGACGTGCAAGAAGCTGACAAACTCTTGGCTGATCCCTGAAAATGGATCCACATTAAATTCCTCTTGAATTTCAATTATGCTTCTTTTCCACATTTAAATTTTTCTGTGCAAGGTTGAGTTTTGTAGAAATTTATATGTTCCATTACTTAAATTACTCAATTCAATTATCCATTCACGGGAGAGTTTCTCTTTAGCAGATTATGCATACTGGTTCATCACTCATTTGAAAAAAAAATTGCTATGAAAAATTTCATGTAAGTGCTAAGAAGAATATGGCACACATACATGTGTGGCAACAACATCATCATAGAACTGCTCAATGTGTGAAGTTCCAGAAACGTCCAATCTGTCAAATGAAAAGGCGCCAACATTGATTTGTAAGCATCAACCAATTACTAATATAAAACACATGTGTATGTATCTATGATGAGAAATCTTACGTGTTAATAAAGTAACCTGCATCTGCAAAACATTTTACTTTAGCACTCGCCGGGACAAGAGATTTGAATTGGTCACAATGCAATATGGAAGTCAATCCTCCCGCTGAACATCCAGACAAAACGGCCTATACAGTAAAATCTTAGTTTATCTTGTATAAAGAAAAATATATAGTATTTTTCATGGATGAAAGATTAGTATTTTACATTTTTTGCATCCTTCATCCCTTTGGCGAGTAAATCCTCTATAACAGCCAGAAAGACTCTTGCACCTCTGAAGTGAAGATTGGTTTTCTGGTAATATTTAAAAGACATTGTCTGTTAGGTCATGTAGAGTTGTAGATAACAACTCCTCATACCAATAATCTTGAAGTCTGTGTCCTGACTTATAGGATTACCAAAACTAACCAGCTGAAGTATTGAAGGAATGCAAAGTATAACCTAGATAGGGGTTTATAAACCTGGAAAGCAAATAATATACAGAAACTACTATGCATACCGGATCCACGGCTTCAACATCACCAGTAAAGGATGACCCGTCACAATACATAACCTTTACTCGATTCCAATTGTAGAAGTCTGGAAGTTTAGAATATGATTAGATCATTAGAGGTTTTGTTAATGAGGTTGGGCACGCTTAGCATCCATTAGAAGAAGAAAATGAAAAGTTACCTCGATTTCTTACAGGGTGGTTACCCAGAAGCCCTGAAAATGCAACCTGTTTTGCCATTTTCGTGGAAGATCCTAACCGAGTATCCCTACGGGCAAGGCAATTTGTAACATTATTGCACCACGCTCCTCCCTGAAACTCCAAATGTAGAAGAAGCACATACACCATTGAGATACTACAATTGTTAAATGTTCCACATCGAAATATTAGAAATATTATAAGTTAAGTTCTATAAAAATGTCATACTAATAAGTGATTACAACCTCAACATGGATTAACCAGTTATTAACTCCTGCCCCGGATCCTCGGTCCATATGGTACGCCGGTGGACTTCCATCCAAACAGACTGCATCATTGTAAAATGGAAAAAGAATAAAAAAAATTGAAATGATAAATTGAAACGAAAATCTAATGAAATCAGAAGTGTATTTCACCTGCTCCTTTTGAAACAGCACTCTCAACATAAGTGATATCCACAAAGAAGCCTTCTGTTCTCAAAACGAAAAGCATAAAACAAGCAAATCCATACGCCCATTTACGATTTCCCACATTTGCCATACTCCTGCAAATTTATAACATAATAAGTCTACCAACTCAAACACACTATGGTAAGAACTAAGAAGAATAAACATGAAAATAGGACAGCAAATGAGTTCACTATGGCTCTATTTGGGAACAATAATAATAGGCTAAATCTGCTTAACCCTTTTGACTTACCAACTATTTGAAGCAAAATGAATTTTATAAAATGCTTTTAATTTCCAAAAATTCAGCCGAGTTGCCACAACATTTCAACCAAATAACTCTTACCAAAAGGATCTAACTTTTGAATTAATCTTTGAGGTTAGAGTTTGAGACATTCATATATATAATATATACATATATTCATATATGTATATGCATATATATTAATAATATGAGTGCTAATTTTCACTAGCACAGATATTCTAAAAGCAGTACTACTAATAGAATATTCTAAAAATACAGACTCTTTGATACAGTTCTAATTTTCACAGTTATTTCTACTGAATATTGAATAACCGATGTCAGTTATGAATAACTTAATGCTAGTACGAACCTTTGTTGGGTTCAGATTTCTTAGCTTTGAAGCTTTCCCAGAGATGCAGAGTATGAACCAGCTAGAAGGAGAAGGATATACTGTCTTCATCCAGCTGTGTGCATTTATGGGGTAAGCAAACAGGTCGTGGCCTTGTGGGTAATACTTCTTTATTGCCCAGTATTTCTTTTTTCCCATTTTCCACATGACAATCCTAGCAAAAAAGACGAAATCTTTTGTCTTGTTTTGCACATTCTCCACCGACAAAATCATTGAAGAAAAAAATTACGATTGTAATTCTCAGTAAATGGTAAAATGAAAGCATGTTCCATATGCTCATCAATTTCAGTTTTTTTTGAATCACAGGACGCGGTAATTTCAGTTAATGAAATTATTTAATGAAAGAAACATGTACTCAAGAGGTTACTTATTTAACTGTATTCAGTTATGTTTTTACTTGGACTTGTAATTTGCTGGTCTGGTCTGATCTAGTCTAGTCTGAACCGGTCTTGTCTGGTCTAGTATCTTTGTATTTTTATAATTATCCAAGTCTGTTCTGGTCTGGTCAGGGACAAATTATAGTCCAAGTAAAAACATCCTAAGATGTTTTCTTTTGGATTGTTTTCAATCCCAGACCATACCAGATCAGATCAGACCAGACTTCCGTAGTTATAAAATACACAGAGACCATATGTTTATCAGACTAGACCAGACTTGTTCAGACCAGACCAGACCAGGACAGACCAACAAATTTCACTCCAAATGAAAACATCCTAAACGGGTTATCTTAACTGGATAGAATTTATTCGCAGTCTCTTGAACAAAATACTAAGAGCATCTCCAGCGGTCAGCTAGACACCTTGTAGTTTTGCTTGTCACCTCAGTTTTTTCTAGCTAATCCATTTTCCAGCAATGTGATGGTCCAATGGTTAGCTACAACCCTTGCCTCTTGAATAGGCCCCACAAATCAATCAATATTGAAATATACATTTTGAATGAATTTTATTGTTAATATAATAAAAATAATATTTATTTTTAAATATTTCCAAATAGATCAAGTTGACAAGCAAACATAACCAAACTTCTGGCAGATTGATCAAGTTGGCCATCAACTATGACTTTGACCAAACATTAATCCAACGCCCAACATTAAGCAGACGAGGGTGAAAATGCATATTATTAAAATTAGTACAAAAATATGTATTTTGTTAAGTAACAAAATAAGGAATAAAAAATTTGCTCGAAAATATTCTATATGAAAAATATCAACTTTAACTTAAGTATTTCATGAAAAAATCATTGGGTTGCACTTCTCTAATTAACGGTAATATTGAAACCCTTTTAAACATTACCGTTGCTGACTTGCTCTTTAATTAGATTTGTATATTAATTATAATAAATAAATTAAATATAATTGGGAGTTACCATTTTAGTTCAATTTTCTCTCCTTTCTAGCATTTAGCTTGTTTTGGCTAATTAGCTTGTCCAAGCTAGAAGGTAATATACACTCCAGTGGTAGGCTACTAGCTTGAGTATTTTAAAAAATTGCAAACAAGTCCTTGGGAGGAACCATTGGAGATGCTCTAAACCCATTCATTTTGGTTCCGCCTAATTATCCGTGGTTACACTCTTTTTATATTGCGGTTGATTTGATGACTTCATTTTTATGGGAAAATGGAAACTAATAATTCAACCTTTTAACGGTCTTCTTACAATAGTCCCACCTTTTCGTTATTCATGAATAATCCAACCTTTGCACCTCATCTTCATTCACTGGTCCCTGACCGATTGATGACCTGCTATCCCAAGTTATTTTCTTATCTTTGCAAAATACTATCTTTGTGAAAGGTGAGATTTATGGTATAATAGTTTGCAAAGATAAGAAAATAACTTGGAATAGCAGGTCATCAATCAGTCAGGGACCAGTGAATGAAGATGAGGTGCAAAGGTTGGATTATTCATGAATAACGAAAAGGTGGGACTATTGTAAGAAGAACGCTAAAAGGTTGGATTATTAGTTTCCATTTTCCCCATTTTTATTGAGAAAGTTAATACTCCCTCCGTAGTTTTTTGTTTGTTACAATAGGTGTTTGACAAATTTTTTAAAAAAGTGAAATAGTGAGGGTAATGAATAGTGTAGAAAAAGTTGGAGAGATGGTGGAAAAGTATGAAAGAGAACATAAAACGCCGAAGAAAAAAACGGTAGTTGAGTATTTTTAAAGGAAAAACTTACCAAAAAGGAAAGTGTAGCAATTTCTTTAATACATCCCAGAAAGGAAAGTGTAACAAACAAAAAATACGGAGAGAGTATAAGAATAAGTTCATCAAAGTCACCATAATTTTACAATTGTTCTTTACATGTAGTATCAATCTATAATGACGCCATTCTCAATTTTAAAGGCCAGCTGAGTTGACGATTGACGAAGTCATGAAGGGTTGTTGTGTGCTGAGTTGGGATTTGATTGGAATTTCTACGATTAAGGGGTCAGTTTGGTCCTCGAAGTTGCATAAAAGGGGTCAAATAAGTCCTTATATAGGAGGTTCTATCCAGCCGTCACCATTTGGGGCGGTTCCCGGTGGAATTTTTTGATGAAATTTTTTAGACATCTTATTCATTAAGTCTAGTTCACTCATACAAAATTTCAGATGAAAATTCAATCGGGAAGACATTCAAATGAATTCTTGAAGATAACTGTGTAGTTAAAAACGCAGTTATCTTCAAGAATTTATTTGAATGCCTTCCCGATTGAATTTTTAGCTGAAATTTGGTATTAGTAAACTAGACTTAATGAATAAGATGCTCAAAATAAGTTATCAAAAAATTCCCGCGGAAACCGCCTTAAATGGCACGTCCGAACAGAATCTTCTATATAAGGACTTACTTGACCCATTTTATGCAACTTCGAGGACCAAACTGACCCTTTACTCCAATTTCTACCGATTAGCGAATATCCATAAGCGAGCTTTGTTGACTGCCCTTGCACCCTGCGGGTCTTCCTTTTGGAGTTGGGATTTTGGATTTTGAGCCATGTTTAACTTTTGGGCTTGGCTGCAGACTGCTTCACGCTTAAGAGTTTGGAGAGCAGATTTGTGCCAAGTGCGGACGAGCGGAAAACAAATTTTATACTACTACCTCCATCCCATATTGGTTGTCCACTTCCACTTTCAATTTGGCACAATTATTAATAAAGTAGTTGCAAAGAAAAATTTTGGTTGAGATTTGAGTAGAATAAAGTGAAATGATAAGAACCACATATTTCTTGTCAAAAAGGGAAACAAGACATTCATTTTGGGACAACTCAAAAAGGAAAGTAGGACAACCAAAATGGGACGGAGGGAGTAGTATTCTACAATTATTTTAAAATTGAGGTGGGGCCTGATTTTTATACATATCTATGCCAGTTAAAAATAATAATAAAAATAGAATAATGGGCTTGGGCTCTCCCTAGCCATAGGCCCAATCTGCTCTTGATCTTCGGTGATTAGCTAACGGCTGAAGATACTCTAAGAGTCTAATTAAGGGACATCTTTAATGATTACAATTAGGAACTTGCTTGCAATTTATAAAAATATTAAAGCTACTAGCTTATTATCGAGATGCATTTTTACTCCTAGCTTGGGCAACAAAATTAGCCAATACAAGATACTTGCTGGAATAAATAGAATTTTAAACTAAAAATGGTAATTATCAAATATATTTAATCTATTGAGTAATTAATATACTAAAAAAATTAAAATCCAATTGTAAAGCTAGTAAGCTACAGTACTGAAATGCAATAGTAAGGCCCTGACAATTGCTTTGTTGATTTTAATAAACGTTAAATTTTATCAAGTTGATATTTTTCAGTTTCTATGTATTTCTAATATTTCTATTAGTTTTTTTATTTTAACATAACAAAATACACATTTTTGTACATATTTTAAAGTATGCTATCATCCCCAATATAATTATAATACACTAATTATTTATGTATTTAAAAATATCAATGACATTTTCCGATTTTAAAGTATTTCAAAAAAGTATTACACCCTCTGTCCCTATGTAAAAGTACTCATTTGAATTACACACAATTAAAGAAAATGGTACAATTTGGCACTATTTAGACGCTCTTTGGCATTGTTTAACACTATTTGACACTGTTTTGCACTATTTTGTTTACTAAATAAGGAAAGGAAAATTTTTTAAGGGACAGAATGAAAAAAAGTGGAATGTTTATTTAGGGACGGATGAAGTATTTTTTATGTTATTAAAAATTAATTCATTAAAAATGTATAATTTCAAAGTTGGTTGATTTGTGGGGGACAAGCGTTATAACTAAAATTGGAGTATCACATTTATGGAAAATAAGTTAGTCATATACCGCTAATGTTGCAAACCAAGCTACAATGTATATAAATTGTAGATGCTTTAAGAGTGTGTTTAATTGGACTGAGATATTCTGATCTAGTCTAGTCTGATATGATCAGTTTAAATCTGGTCTAATCAAGTCTAAATTGGTCTGATCTGGTCTGATAGATATCTAATCTTTGTGTATTTTACAACTGTCAAAGTTTGAGCGAGTTTGATTTGTTTAAATATGATCTAGTTTAATGATTCTAATCTAATCTCGAAGTTTGTGTCTGAAACTAGTCAAAGTAAAAACATCTTAATTCCTCTTTTTTGATTGCTTCATTCTATTTAAGTAAAGATATATTTATCTATTTAAGTAAAAACACTTCCTTTATTTAATCCAGGCTAATAACAGCATCACGAAGTTCTTTTTTGGTAATTGAATTTATTCGGGCTAAAACAACCCTTCACTTTATAACTCCATATTAAAAAGCAAATTCACCAACTCCCTCATCTCTCATGCCTCATCGCACCTCACAACCTACAAGTAAAATACGTCAATTTAAGAATATGTAGCAATGTCAATCAACGGCGACTCCATTGTTAAGACCAGATGGCTTACCCATCCCTCTAATTCCAAAGACTTCCAAGCCCTCTGCCATACATATCTGGTGCCGATCTAGACAAAATATGCATCCTTCTCCGATGTCATAGCCTTCGTAATCAAATGTTGCGACCACCTACGTCGGCTAATCGCGGAGTTTCTTGACGGCCTCTCATGGTAACTACATCATTGGAAATTGTGAACTGTCTATTAATTGCTCTGATACTATACTATT